GGGAGGGAGGAGGGAGCCCCCGCACCCGCGCCGGGCTGCAATCCCCCCCTGCGCGGAGCTGCACCCCGGTACCCGAACAGGGGGCACCCGCGCAGGGGCATCCACGCAGGGGCACCCGCGCAGGGACACCCGCACAGGGACACCCCCACAAGGCACCACACAAGCTCCTTCCCCCAGCCATGTTAAGGCTGAATCCTGTAACTGAGCGCCGAGGGGTTACTGGTGTCTGGGGGTAGGGAACAGGTAGGCACTGGTTGCAGGGCCAGGCCTGGGGACTGGAGCTGCTGGGGCGGGTGTGGGTGACAGCCCCAGGGACCTCAGACCACCCTGAGGCATCACCGGTGCTTCGTTCGGTGGCTCTTTGACTTACTAAATGGGAAATCAGAAGCTCAGCACATCGCTGCTCCCATGGAAGTGGAAGGTGTTTCAAAGCAAGGGTGGTGATCGAGGAGGCACCAGGTGGGACCTTTGCCGTGCCCATTGCCAACGGGCCGGGCGAGGTCTTTGGAGGCTTTACTGGGCTGCCACTGCTCTCCCTACGCCTCTCCACTGCAGTAGCAGAGCCCAAGCTGACCTTTTGAGTTTTGGAGACCAAACCGCTCCATTTATGCGCAAGCATGCTGCTGGTGCAGGATGTGGGTCCCGCAGGATTTCCCCACCACGTGCTCCATGCCCTTCTGTGATGTGGGGCTGGGTCACACCTTTGCCCTCTGCTAGATGCTCAGGACAGGCAGGTGAGCAGCGCCGAGCCCAGAAGGGGACGCATCCATCATGTCCACCCTGGGATGGTACCCTTCATCGGTGGGAACCACAAAGAGAAGAGCTGCTCTGAGCAGTGGTGGCACGTCCTGTGGGTCAGGCACCCTCTGGGCTGTATGGACGATGCAGTGAGAAACACAGACTGATCCCTTGCAGCTCCTGCGATGGAGAAGGTGCTGCCACGGGAAGCCAAGATGACCCTGTCCAGCAGTGAGCCCAGAGGGGTGCCAGCAGAGAGACCCCCCTCTTGGGGATGTCCTCTTTGGGATGTCCATCCCCCCCTCTTGGGGATGTCCATGCTCATCCTTGCCAAGCCAAGCACAGCACACGTGTGTGCATCCCCCCAGGGACCTGTGTGCTCATGGGGCACAGCAGCCCCAAGGGTCACCAGGTCCTGCTCTGTCTTTCTCCACGCAGAGCTTGTTTGCGGCGGGTGTTTGATGGCACCCTGGCGCAGGAGCCGGCCTTGGGGCAGCTCTCCCCTCCCAGGCTCCACCACCTTTGCAGGCTGTGCTGCAGCTCCCCTCCCTCCCCTCTTTTCTGCTTGAAGGGAAAAAGATGGGTATCCATTCAGGTATTGAGAAAGGCTGCAAAAAAATTTCTTTTATGGTAGGTTTTTGGTCCGTGCAAAGCACATTGCATGGTGCAATAAAGGATTAAATAGCAAAAAAAGAATTCCTTAAAGCATTTGTTTAGTTGCTGCTAGATCGTCAGTGTCCTGAGTGAAACTGTACCCCCAGATTGCTATTGCTCCATTAATGCAACACAGTATGGGCTGGTGAACCACAGGCGAGGTGTGGGGCCAGCCCTGGGTGCAAATGTCGTCTGCTGCAAGTTTGCACCAGTGCATGGTGCATGCCCTGCCCCAGCCAGCCCTCTCACACTAGGCTCGCTCCTGCCTGCAAACCAGGGCCATTACCAGGCAGGGTGCGTTCATCCTGCTCACTCTGCTCCCTGCCTGGGCGCCCAGCCTGTTCCTGGTGGGTGACACCGCAGAGCCCCCCTGCCCCACGCTGGGGTCTGTGGCAGCTGCTGTGCCCAGGCAGGACTGTCCTTCCAAGCAGTCTGCTTTTGCTCCCACCCTTTGAAAAAAGCTGTATTAGTCTTCTGCCTAATTGAGACAACCGGGAAATAGTCACTGGGCTCAAATACCTGCCCAGGGCTGGGCCATGAGCCCTCCCGTGCTCCCTGGGCTGCAGATACAGGTAGTGTGGAAGCAGCTTTGGAAAAATCCCACTGGATGCCTGAGTGGAACATCTGGGGAGCCTAAATCCCTGGGCAAACCCAGCCTGGAGCAGGAGCCAGGGAGCTCCCAGCTGATGGGGAATTAGGAGCCTTGTGGGGCGAGGGGCCAGGGCAGGGGCTACGGGGCATCTCCCTGCCTGCTCTAAGGGCTTGTCCAGACTGAGTCCCCCAGCAGCGTCCCTGCAAAGTCTGGCCAGGCCCATTGACATGATAATACTATTAAACTTCAGCAATTTGAAAAACAATGAGCCAGCAAGAGCCCGAAGGGGGATGCTGGAAACCCCAGGCAGCCTCCGAGTGGATTGACCTGTCCCAGGCAGGACTCCCTCCACCCTTTGCCCACCCTCTGATTTTTAATCTGGAGTTTTGGCAAGGAAAATTGGATTTGTGGTCGGCTGTGCCGGAGGTTGGC